TGGGCATACATCCTTTTCCCCTCATGCCTCTGATGCAGTAAATATGTTGTTTGCAATTTGGCGACTGTAATGGATTGCATGTTACGGAAGGTGAGTAGTTGCCCTCGGGGTACCTGGATAAGCTAAACAACCTTCCTGCCAATAGTACAACAAGCAACAAAGTGAGCAATGATTATCTTGAGGTTATCTTGAGATGATTTCGAGGCTTTTACTGTCCCCGCGACCCAGTCCTCGACCAGGCCTCCACCCCCAGGTAGCAGCCCGTGACAGCTGACTAACACCCAGGTACCTATTTTACTGCTAGGTAACAGGGGCATAGGGTGAAAGAAACTTTTGCTTATTGTTTCTCGCCGACGCCCGGGATCGAACCCGGGACCACAGGATCAGAAGTCCAGCGTGCTGTCCGCTCGGCCGACCTGCTCCCTAAATGATGAAGGCAGACAGTGAGCGGTGATGAAGGCAGACAGTGAGCAGTGAGTAAAGTTTTTGATTGGATGTTTTGGAAGACGTGTGAGAGCAGAAAGTTCCGTTTGAAATTATTTGGACTGGAGGAGTGTCATAAGTTGTTCAAATACCCGGAGTGTGAGACTGACGAAAGAAGAACTTGTGCAAACAAAGTTTCAAGTAGAGTCTCGGAAGGAGAGACAATGAAAACTTTGGTTAGGAAGAACAGGATAGCGAGATCAAAGCATGTGAGGGCTGCATGTGGGAGTGAGATACTCTAGGGCATCAACTTGAGAAATAACCAATACTCTAATGGTTAACATTAATAATCTGTGGAGCATAGGTGACGTTAGGTGAATAGAGTAAGGGTTGAAAGTGTCAGAAAAATATGGAGAGCAAACTTTGGTAAACAACAAAGTTTACGAGTGTACTTAGATGGTTTAGCCGTGAAGAGTGAATGGAAGACGACTGATTGGTGAGAAAGGAGTATTCATGCGAACTTGAGAGTAAGAAGAACGGAAGGTTGAGAAGATGGACGGAGAGGGTGTGTGTATATATGTGTGTGTGCACTCACCTAGTTGTACTCGCCTAGTTGTGCTTGCAGGGGTTGAGCTCTGGCTCTTTGGTCCCGCCTCTCAACTGTCAATCAACTGGTTTGTGTGTGTGTGTGTGTGTGTGTGTACTTACCTAGTTAGTAAGTACACACACACACACACACACACATACACACACACACACACACACACATACTAGGAGGCCTAGTAGTAAAAGAAAGTAAAAATTTACTTTTTTATGTAAAGTAAAGTAAAAAACTGAAAGTAAAAATTTTAACATGAAGACTTGCGTAATTCAAACAAGGGTCTACAGAGCAGGAAGCGAACATGTTTAATTTGTAAAATGATGACACACACAACCTTACCAACATTATTGTGAATGACGGTATGTTGGGTTGCGTGTATTAAGGTGCACTAGATTAGTGTGTGTGTGTGTGGCTGGAGGAGAGAAGAGCTATGTATGCATGTCAACAGGTGTAGCCACAGCTGCCTCTCCTCTAACCCCATTCCCCTCACCATCTGCCACTGCCTCTCCCTGCTCCTCCCGCCATAATATATATCTATATATTGTGACGGTAACGCGTTGGTGTTCGGCTGTTTCAAAAGCTAGGGGTATGGCCTCGTCACATATAGAAACAAAAAGAGAAAATCTGGAACTTCGTCTGTGGTAAGGTAATGGGAAGACACACAAAACACAAGTAAATTTAACAATGAGATTTTAATTACATTAGAAAAGCAAAACATGAATAAAATGGACATACAAATGGTAACATAAAATCAATCAATCAAAATAATAAGAATAATCAAATGACAAAATGAAAAGTTACGTTAAGACAAGTGAGTAATAACAAGTGAACAATATACAATCAGATAGGTGCAGGAATATTGGCTTTAAGCTGCCACCTCTCTTAGTACACGTAAGCCAGAGCTTAGTCTACCAACGAGACGTGTTAACTTGTTGAAAGCACTGGATATTCTGAGGTCTGAGGTCGTGGTGGCCCCAGACATCAGGTAGTGTGGCAGGTGGAGGGCAGGTGCAACTGGACACGCAGCCAATCAGCGATGAGCAGGCGACGGACAGGTAGTTTGGTGGTTCGAGTGGCGGGGGGAGCAGGTGTTCCTGGTGCTGAATACGTTTGCTCTCTGGCAAACCTTGGAGTTGTACTTGTTGGATATTTCTTCCATATTAGTTGTATAGGGATGTATAGCGATGAACTTAGGAGGGAAGAACAGGCTCAATCTCTTGAAGGAGATTATCGTCACAATATATATATATATATATATATATATATATATATATATATATATATATATATATATATATATATATATATATATATATATATATATATATATATATATATATATATATATATATAGATATATATATAGATATATATATATATATATATATATATATATATATATATATATATATATATATGTGTGTGTGTGTGTGTGTGTGTATCACGAAAATAAACACGTGATTAAAAATGTGACAATGTCAGACCACGGAGGAAAAATGAAACAGGAATTTCCTTAAGTTCTTTCGTATATTAATACATCTTCAGAAGGAGTGAACATACTTAAGGAAATTCCTGTTTCATTTTTCCTCCGTGGTCTGACATATATATATATATATATATATATATATATATATATATATATATATATATATATATATATATATATATATATATATATATATATACTAGTGTATTTTGGTAGCAGTCTTTTTTGTAAACATATGTTGTTGAATATGACCGAAAGGGTAAGGTTAATAATTCTAACACGAATCTTCTCAATAGTTCTTACGTTTTTCTTCACTATCGAAGGTAATTGAAAAATTAACTCTCCAAAATGCATTCTTTATTTCTGGTCTGACGCCTGAACGCGTTTCGTAATGCTTATTACATTTTCAAAGACTAGTTAACACATTTTTATCGATGATTTCTGTGTTGATTGTTAGGATTTCTCTGGTGATGGTCTAGTTGTGAGAAGAGATTATATGCTCCTTGATGGAGCCTTGTTGTTTGTGCATAGTTAATCGCCTAGAAAGAGACGTTGTTGTCTTGCCTATATACAGAGTTCTTTGGGGCTGACAGTCCCCAAGCAGGCATGTGAAGGCATAGACGACGTTGGTTTCCTTCAAGGCGTTCTGTTTGGTGTCTGGGGAGTTTTTCATGAGTAGGTTGGCCGTTTTTTTTTGTTTTTATAGTAAATTGTCAATTGTATTTTCTGATTTTTGTCTGTAGGGATAACGTTCCTATCAACAATATCTTTCAGGACCCTTTCCTCCGTTTTATGAGCAGTCAAAAAAAAATCCTGTAAAACAGTGTAATAGGGGGTACATGTGTTGTGCTAGCTGACTCTTCAGAGGTTGCATGGCGTTTCACTATTCTTTTTATAACGTCTTCAACATAATGTTGAAGACGTCATAAAAAGACGTGGGCATGGAGGGAGGGGACGGGGAGGGGAGACGGGGGAGGGGCGTGTGTGATCAAGAAGGAGTCAAAGTGCTGGCATGAGTGTTTAAATTTTATTATTAACATCTTTATTGACAAAATTAATTACAATTTTGCCTAATCTGAGGATTTTGATAGTCTTATTAAAATGAGGATAATGCTGTTTAAAGGAGAGTTTCAAGGAGACAGTGAGTGTATGTTGGAGGAAATGGGAAATGTTTGTGAGGGAATATGGGGAGAGGGTGTGAGGGGTGGGGAATGTTGACGATGTAAATATATCTACAGAGATGTAGACAGTAATTTATTGAAGAGTGTTACGGTGATGGGGAAGCGGGAGGGAGAGGTGTGTGTGAAGGTAGACAGAGAGTGTGAGTGTAGGGAAAGATGGGAGGGTGATTGTGGGTGAGCTAATTCTACCTCCCACGCTTCACTTAAAGAAAAGAATCGTGGGACGTAAAATTCCTAGACTACACGTCAGAGTGAATAGGGGCATTGTGTGTAACCCTGGTTAGGCTTCAGTGTAAGCCTCAGGAACCCTAGACGATTCAGTTGAACACCAGGTTTCAGTGTTTTTGACCATGTCGTGGTGAAGTTGTCTAAGGCGTTTGCTTGGGAGTACCCAAGACCATAGGTCCGAATCCTCTTCATGGCTCCTACTGATTTTCTCACGAGAGGAAATGTCAGCACTGGAGAAATACCCGACAGACCTACCATCTCCCAAACCTGCTATCTCCTCCACCTCACCGGAATATCGTTTAGAAACCTAAATCAGGACTTCTACAAAGCAATCTGCACAACATGTGTTAGACCAGTGCTGGAATATGCAGCACCTGTAAGCAATGCGCACCTCGTGAAGCACTAAACCAAGGTTGAAAAAGTACAGAGGTTTGCAACAAGCTTAGTGCCAGAGCTGAGAGGACAATGCCATAAGGATAGGGCGATAGCCTAATGGAACTAAATCTCAGAAACCCAAGAGGATTAAAGAAACATTCAAGGTAATGAACGGTAATAAAGGAGGTGGACAAGGACGGCCTTGTTAAATTGAGAGAAAGAAGGACAAGATGACACAGGTGGAATCTGGGGGAAAGCAAATGAGTCGTAGGAATGTAAGGAAATTGCCATTACCCAGCACGGGTGTGGGAATACGCTGAATGAAAAAGTTGTGGTAGCCACCTCCATTCACAAGGCAAGATTCGACAAAGAATTCGAACGTCAAAATAGATTATATTGGAACAGTTACAACAAGGGTAATAGGCGGTGTAAAAAAAGAGCTTGACCTCACTCCTCCGTAGACTGTAATAGCACACCAAGCCTACCATCCCCACAATATTGAAGTCAATAATGATAATATCCTCATTCTCTCAAAGTACGGTGAATGTAACCACAACGACAAAAATATATATTTAGTAAAAACTTACTTTAATTAGACGAAACTTACTTTAATGACACAGATGCATTGTGTCTGTCATTTAATTAATAAGAAGCATCAAGACCGCTGGTATATTTAAGTTATCCTTCCACCATATTTTCTATTGCTCGCATCACAGAGAACGAGGGAAGCACAGGTGTGGCGAGCCAGCGTCAACACAGCTTTGGGACACTTGTCGCAGTTCTCACCGCATCACCACTGTAGGTAGTGTGCGTCAGGTGAGTGCTACACGTGAGGCCAGGTAGCTGCGTCACCACTGTAGGTAGTGTGCGTCAGGTGAGTGCTTCACGTGAGGCCAGGTAGCTGCGTCACCACTGTGGGTAGTGTGCGTCAGGTGAGTGCTACATGTGAGGCCAGGTAGCTGCGTCACCACTGTGGGTAGTGTGCGTCAGGTGAGTGCTTCACGTGAGGCCAGGTAGCTGCGTCACCACTGTGGGTAGTGTGCGTCAGGTGAGTACTTCACGTGAGGCCAGGTAGCTGCGTCACCACTGTGGGTAGTGTGCGTCAGGTGAGTGCTTCACGTGAGGCCAGGTAGCTGCGTCACCACTGTGGGTAGTGTGCGTCAGGTGAGTGCTACACGTGAGGCCAGGTGAATCAGACGGGTCAATGAACTTCTGTAGTAGAAAATGCTGCTTTCCTCGCTGGTCTTTGCTATAACTAATAGCATAGTTTATGCCAAGCTTGGCGAGGGTGAGGTTGGCCTGGTGTACGCTCACATGCTGATACATACGGATATGTGCGGTCACCCACCTGCCATCCCCTGCCACCCCGACACCTGACATTGTGGGCCCACCTGCCATCCCCTGCCACCCCGACACCTGACATTGTGGGCCCACCTGCCATCCCCTGCCACCCCGACACCTGACATTGTGGGCCCACCTGCCATCCCCTGCCACCCCAACACCTGACATTGTGGGCCCACCTGCCATCCCCTGCCACCCCGACACCTGACATTGTGGGCCCACCTGCCATCCCCTGCCACCCCGACACCTGACATTGTGGGCCCACCTGCCACAGTGTGCCAAGCCCAGTTTTCAGCTACTGGTCCCCGCCTTTTCAATTGTCTGTCATCGAATACGACTCCTGACCCCCTGTGATTGGCTTCGTTCTCGACTTATAATCTGGGATCTCGGGTTTGATTCCCGGACGAGAAAGAAATGGTTGGGCACATTTTCTTTCAAATAATGCTTCTGTTCACCTAGCACAGGTACTCCGGAGTTAGGTAACTGTCGTTGGGTTGCACCCTGGGGAGGGTCAGTAGTTCGACCTTGAGGAAACATACCTTGAGGTTACCTTGAGGTGCTTCCGGGGCTTAGCGTCCCCGCGGACCGGTCGTCGACCAGGCCTCCTGGTTGCTGGACTGATCAACCAGGCTGTTAGACGCGGCGGCTCGCAGCCTGACGTATGAGTCACAGCCTGGTTGATCAGGTATCCTACATCGGTACATCGGTACAAGCATATATTCAATACATATATTCACGGGCTTTCTATACCCGACAAACGAACTATTATTCATTATTTTTATTATTTGTAAACCAGTTCGTTTCACTTGCTTACCTCTACCTGAATTTACCTGAGGGTGACTCTCGTTCTACTGGGGATAGGAAGCCAGCGGCTCGTTAAAGCTCCTCCTCCATATTATGTAAGTGATACAAGATAATTTGTATCACTTAAATTTTCATATATTAAAGCAATACAAATACACCAGACAGTGCATGTTGTTAAGTATGTGCTTAACTTATTCATATTTTTATTTAAAAAGTTCATGTTTTTTTTCCATTAGAAATCTATTTTGTGTTTTTTTTTTCAGGTTAAAATGAAGCTTCTCTCCTTGGTGGTATTGCTGCTGGTGATGGGTGAGTACAAGCCTGGTGTCATGTGATGTAATTAGGCTCATGCAAGGCTCAGGCTCGGCTGTACTCACCTAGTTGAGTACAGCCGTACTCAACTGTGTACTGTGAGTACACAGTACAGAGTACTGTGAGTACCTCAACAGAGGTACTGTGTGTGCCTTCACGAGTCTCCACTACCACCACCACCACCACCACCACTACCTGCTGCTGCTGCTGCTGGTGGTGACCCGACCAGTTGTACAGTTACCACCGCTATTCGTGCACCCTTCTCACTCTGTAGTTCAAAATCTAGAGACATATCGATAACTAACAGTCAAGAAATTTCCAAATACTTCATTAATAACTTGTCTTACCAAAATCTAGGCCGAATATACCACCAGGCTTCCCGTCCCCGACTATGGGGGACCTGTATGCGGCTCAGTATACTTCAGTATACTTCAGTATACTTCAGTATACTCAGCTTCTAAATAATTCATCGCATTTTTATGTATAATTTTTCCCTAAAGCCAAAAACTAATTCACTAAAAATGGCAGCGGCTCGCGAAAATCGATATGATGTCCCGTTTTCTGTTCGTGGGCCCTCGGGTAGGTTAGGTTCGGCCAATATAGTACAACAGTTTAGTGACTTTGGGAATGCTCTGGAGAACGGGGTAATTGGTAACCAACGCCCACGGGAGGGCATTGGGTGCAAAGTAAACTAATTGAACTTCCGCCCAGTTTGGAGAACGAAGCTTGTCTGAGAAATTGCAACATCTTCTTAGGTGCCATTAAGTGACCAACTGAATTAGCAACAATTACCGAGCCTAATGACTGAGGCCACGTTGGCTAAGTTAACATACCCAAGGGCGCTGTGCTGTTAGAATGGTCGCAGTTGATGCCCTGAGCTCATGTTGTATGTTGATGCCCACTAGTGATGCCATGAGCTATAATCCAGAACTATGCACTCTGATAATAATACCCCCTGTGCCAGTGTGTTAGAATGCCCGAGGCTGATGCCCTGACCAAATCTCCCTACCTGGTGTCATTACTTTATGCCCTGGCGTGATGTCTTTCGTTGATGCCATGATCTGATCCCCAGACATGATACCCAGACGTGATACCCAGAGGTGATACCCAGACATGATACCCAGACGTGATACCCAGAGGTGATACCCAGACATGATATCCAGACGTGATACCCAGAGGTGATACCCAGACATGATACCCAGACGTGATACCTAGACATGATACCCAGACGTGATACCCAGACATGATACCCAGACATGATACCCAGACGTGATACCCAGACATGATACCCAGACCTGACACCCAGACCTGATACCCAGACCTGATACCCAGACCTGATACCCAGACGTGATACCCAGAGGTGATGCGGTCCGTGTGCCAGCAGGGTACGCGAGGTGCGAGTGTAAGCCAGGGTCGGGAGGCAGCGAGGGGCGGTACCGGAGCGTCTCTGGCTGCCCCATCACCCGCATGTTCCAGCCCGTGTGTGGCACAGACGGCTGCGACTACATCAACGAGTCCGCCCTCAACTGTGCCTACAGGGACGACCTCAACAGCGGCCTCTCAGGTGAGCATTGGGCGAGGCCCCGTACGGGCCGCTCCGGCTGGGTTATCTTGGTTATCTTGAGATGATTTCGGGGCTTTATATAGTGTCCCCGCGGCCCGGTCCTCGACCAGGCCTCCACCCCCAGGAAGCAGCCCGTGACAGCTGACTAACATCCAGGTACCTATTGTACTGCTAGGTAACAGGGGCATAGGGTGAAAGAAACTCTGCCCAATGTTTCTCGCTGGCTCCTGGGATCGAACCCAGGACCACAGGATCACAAGCCCAGCGTGCTGTCCGCTCGGCCGACCGGCTCCAGCTGGCTGTAGCGCAGTTGTCACCAAAGTCAGTTCACAACCCCAAAAGTTCCCGGGTTCGATTCTAGCGACGTAGCGGGACCCTTTGTACACGTTTCTATTCACCTGATGCTTCTGCTCACCTAGTACCTGGGAGTTAACTGTTACGGCATGCACCCTGCGAAGGTCAGTAGATGACCTAAGGGGTCAAGGCCAAACAAGAACTCTAAGGGTGCCACCTGGCGATGGTTTCGGGGCTCAACGTCCCCGCGGCCCGGTCCTCAACCAGGCCTTCTCGTTGGTGGACTGGTCAACCAGGCTGTTGGACCCGGCTGCTCGGGTCCAACACCCGAAATATAACTTCTTCCATTTTACTCAAACAGTTTTTTTTTACTCTTTCCTCTAATTCCAATGTTTCAGAAGAAGAAGCGGTGAAAATGGCGTATATGGGTCACTGCAACCAACGCGACGAAGCGAACAACATTATGCCCTAAGGCAACGGAACACACGGTCGATGATAACGAAACGACGAGGCTAGAGCTACAACGGCAACTAAGTTTGACGACAACAGTAGACGAGACCAAAAGACAGCTCAAGACGGTGGCAGGAGTCGGCAGTAATGAACGACGTCAACAGGAGACAACGGTTAACGGAAACGTCAGAAAAGCTTAATTTAGAAAGACGTCTGTTTGACATCGTGGACAATAAGACCAATAGGACTTACACATTTTGATATAAAAAATATTATATAAAGAAGTAAACGATAGCGGGATGATAGCAAGAAAAATAAACATCAGCAAAAAAAGCTTAATTACAAAAATAAAGTGTTTAAAGCTGCAATTACACGTCGTGAACAGAAAACGCTTAAGGACATCATGCTTAAAAACAGAAAACGGATACAAAATTAACGGTGAACTCTTTTTAACAAATTATGAGAGGCCTTGTTGGTCGCATACCAGCGCTGTTGATGGCCCGGACATCCCTTCATATCTGTTTTGATAACAGAACTAACATAAATTTGAATTATTGGCTGAATTATACAGTGTCAGCTAGTGATATGATATATCGTGTTGGGGTCTCTAAATATACAGCATAGTTAATTTTCATTGTGCATTTTTTCTTAGATGTATTCCTTTATACAATGGTAAAGTATGTGCATATATCTATGTATATATGTATTCAACTTGCAGTTAGCAAACTGTGAATATTTGGCTAAATGTTTTGTTAGTAGATCATATTTAATGAAATATTTACTAATTTATCATTTGTTACAGTTGATAGTTCATTTGTCCATGAATTAATGCATCATTTGTGCACTGCATAGAGTGACTCAGGGTGTGTGAGTAATGTTGGTAACAGTTTACATTTGGTCAGGTTTACCTCAACGAGTAAGACAAACTCCCAGAGATACTTATAACCGAGTCTAAGCCGAGCAGTAGTAACATCTAGGAGTCTGCTGATATTACTGGATGACCCATAGATGTGTGGCTCTTCTTGCCTGATAGTATGATGATAGATGCAACTGTTGGCCTAGATTTTACTTTGCCTCAGATCTACACGGTTTTGTTGAAGTCCTTAGTTGAAGGTGAAGTCTTTGACTAACTCATGAGCTTCATCATGCATATGGAGACTAACATGAGACATGAGACATCCACATGAAATGAACTCTGTTAAAGTCATTAATAATTATGTTGTATTTGCATCTAGCTTCAGACACGAGCATGTTACAATTGTGTCTTGAAGAGTTGAGCGCAGTTAACGACGAGAAAGAATCAATTACAAGTAATGCGACAAGTTTGGAGACATATACACATTTGAGTGCAAGAAGCATGGCAAATAGTTAGGTCTGAAGGGTAGAGGCTCAGTTATTTATACGGTCTTCCCACTCAAAATATGAGCCATCACCCATTGTCAGGACAACTTCACTTCAGCTGCACCTGCGGGGCGGTGTAGGGAACCATCCGTGTACATGCTCTGAGAGAGAGAGAGAGAGAAGGTTCTGTGGACAGAGTATCAGTATGGCTTAAGGCGTTGAGCTTTGCCTCAAGACAAAACTTGGGCTGATCTTTAATTTACTTCTTGGGTGGAAAGGGAGGGATTATAATTTGAAAGGCGGCAATCTCCCACGGTAGAGGAAAGCGCCGTTGTCGTCTCCCGTGGTACAAATTGTATATCAGATACGTTCAGAGTTCAGCTGCAGGTTTAATAATTCATTTTGAGCAATGTTGACCTTCAATAAAGAAGGGCTCTTTTGCAAGGGTTAGGATGAGCTAGCGAATTATTCTAATTTAACTGTCATCAAGAGCAAAGGCAGAAATCGTCTCTTTTTTTCAGTTGTCAGTGAAATCCGTGTGTTTACCGGATTTCACTGACAACTGAGGGGAGTACGACGCGGATTTTTTTTTTAAGGATTCGCCCTAAAGGGGAGGACGATGTCGGCCCCCGGTGAGAATGGCTGATCTAACCCAAACATTTTTTTTACCAAGTAGAATATTAATCCAGTAACACGTTCAGTGGCGTTCAAGATATTAAGTTCCTACCTCATATTAAGTATCCTTGTAGTACGCCGACACCTAAGGATAATCCTCAAGGCTTTGTTCTTGTTTAATAGCTCATATGGTAACATTAAATAATGTAGGGCTGAGGACACCTCCCTGTGGTGTCTCTTATTACAGACTCTTGTTACATTACTCTTGAGACTCTTCGAAGTTTGTTACACTTCACCGTCCCTGGACAATACGGATGATCTATTGGATAAATAACCTTTGATCCAACAAACAACCGGACCAACCATATTCTCTCTGGCAAGCTCACTCAAAATGACATGTCGGTTTGCAATATCAAAAGGAGACCTTTAGATATAGGAAGGTGGTATGTACCTTTTCCGTGCGTGTGTATGGTAAGAAAGGTGGTGATGCAATGATGCACACTCCTTCCGTGCATGAAGTCATATATCTGGGGGGATATCATGGTTGTTATTCTACAGAGGAGACGGTTTAGGACTCTCGAATGTTTTGCAAATACAACTAGTAAGGGAAATTGGGCTGAAAACATTCTCTTTATTACGCTTGGGAATTAAAATAATGATACTGTTGATTCACGAAATAGGAAGTTCCCCACAGTAATATAGCGCATATTATGCCGTTCAAGTAGGGATTTCTTGGTACAATGTGAAGCAGACTCAATATACACGAGAAACACCATCCTCACCGGGATTTAAACATTTAAAGGTGATTGCCCAAGCATCGACTAACTTGTTTACTCTGTGTAGAGTAAACACAGATGTAGATGTAGATGTGTCTTATCGCTTATGATGCTTGTAATATCCTTCAGTGCCTGGCTGAGTAGGGTGTGAGAGTTGAGACTTTACAAAAGTTTCCCAGTTATATCTTGCCTGAGCTCTTACGCTCTCCCTCATTCGCTTTTTTCATCTTAGTTACCTTAACGTTTTCTTTCATGTCACACTTCACAATAAGAGAAAACTAATATTAGCGGCTCTATTTTAGCGGATAACTAAAGGTAAACTCGCTCTCCACTAGCTCAGTAATTATAATTTTGATGTTTCTATAGCGATCTGACATTTTGTTTCATAGATATTAACATGATTTAGCCTTTATTAAAACATTTAGTTAGTATTCATTTAGTGGGATAATTCTAGATAATTTTAAGCTTTGTTGTCTGAGGCAACTGTTGTGGGTTGCATCCCGGGAGCAGGTCAGTAGTTTATATATATATACAAGAGTTCTGACATTCTTGTACAGCCGCCAGCACGCATAGCGTTTCGGGCAGGTCCTTAATCCTAATTTTCCCCGGAATACGACCCGCCAAATCGTTTATCAACCAGGTACCCATTTTACTGATGGGTAAACAGAGGCTGCAATTAAAGATTGGCGCCCAGTCAATCCTCCCCGGCCAGGATACGAACCCAGGCCAAAGCGCTCGCGAACCGTCAGGCGAGTGTCTTACTATTTTGCCACGGGGATTGTAGTTCATCCTTGGGGCAGGTCAGTAGTTCATCCTTGGGGTAGGTCAGTAGTTCATCCTTGGGGCAGGTCAGTAGTTCATCCTGGGGTAGGTCAGTAGTTCATCCTGGTGGCAGGTCAGTAGTTCATCCTGGGGACAGGTCAGTAGTTCATCCTTGAGGCAGGTCAGTAGTTCATCCTTGAGGCAGGTCAGTAGTTCATCCTGGGGACAAGTCAGTAGTTCATCCTGGGACAGGTCAGTAGATTGTCCCTTCAATCGACTTGAGAATGGTCTAGGACGGACCGAAACGTCGTCTTCCCTTCACCTTCTAGTGTGTGGTCTGGTCAACATACTTTAGCCACGTTATTGTGACTCATCGCCTGCAGGTCGGAAGGACCCCCCAGTCAGGGCGACTGGTCGCTACTCCACGACTCCACGACAAAGTTAACGACCCAACCAAAGTTAACAACAGTGATCAACGTTAGAGGCTCTATCATCGGGAGTCGGCTCTGGTGCTGCTCTCCGGCTGTGTCAGGATTTATGGACCAGATTCACGAAAGCACTTACGCAAGCACTTAAGAACGTGTACATCTTTCCTCAATCTTTGAAGGCTTTGGTTACATTTATTAAACAGTTTACAAGCATGAAAACTTCCCATTCAACTGTTGTTATTGTTATAAACAGCCTCCTGGTGCTTCGGAGCTCATTAACTGCTTAATAATTGGAAACCAAGCCGCCAAAGATTGAGAAAAGATGTACAGGTTCGTAAGTGTTTGCGTAAGTGCTTTCGTGAATCTGGCTCCTTGACTCTGTAAGACCAATGTAAACTGTTGTTCTAAGGAGATGGGAGATCAGTGTGGCAAACCAAAATAATGTCTTCACCAGTGGTAATATTTTCTTGTCTCCTGGCTGGGTTCCTTCATAGCCACGGGGAGGAGACCGTCAGGTTATGTGCCCATCGTCCAGTACGTCGAGGAGACCGTCAGGTTATGTGCCCATCGTCCAGTACGTCGAGGAGACCGTCAGGTTATGTGCCCATCGTGCAGTACGTCGAGGAGACCGTCAGGTTATGTGCCCATCGTCCAGTACGTCGAGGAGACCGTCAGGTTATGTGCCCATCGTCCAGTACGTCGAGGAGACCGTCAGGTTATGTGCCCATCGTCCAGTACGTCGAGGAGACCGTCAGGTTATGTGCCCATCGTCCAGTACGTCGAGGAGACCGTCAGGTTATGTGCCCATCGTCCAGTACGTCGAGGAGACCGTCAGGTTATGTGCCCATCGTCCAGTACGTCGAGGAGACCGTCAGGTTATGTGCCCATCGTCCAGTACGTCGAGGAGACCGTCAGGTTATGTGCCCATCGTCCAGTACGTCGAGGAGACCGTCAGGTTATGTGCCCATCGTCCAGTACGTCGAGGAGACCGTCAGGTTATGTGCCCATCGTCCAGTACGTCGAGGAGACCGTCAGGTTATGTGCCCATCGTCCAGTACGTCGAGGAGACCGTCAGGTTATGTGCCCATCGTGCAGTACGTCGAGGAGACCGTCAGGTTATGTGCCCATCGTGCAGTACGTCGAGGAGACCGTCAGGTTATGTGCCCATCGTCCAGTACGTCGAGGACACTTGAGATGCTCGCCGAGGAAGTCTTGAGACGTTATCATCGTCACTAGAGTTCATGGAACCACACCAAGAAGTCAGTCGTCACACACAGTGGCAACTTACTGCTGTGCAGTGGGACATTTAAACTGTTACGTCTTAAGTTGACTGAGAGTGTTAGAGTCCGTGACTGGTGCAACATAGTACACCTGACAACAGTTGACAACAACACAAGGGAGGAGTCCACCATTTTCTGCTCACTAGCTAATAGCTCATTATTCCTTCTGGTGAGAATTAATGCATATTTCGTGGGGACTTTCCTTAGGTTGGACTAGTGCTTCAGATTTAGCATTAAAGACAGTTACAGTCTCATCATGGATGTGATTGTGTGTATTATGTCACTTAGTGACAATTGAGATCTATTCACCTCAAACTAATAATATTCTCTGGCTGAGGTGAACTGTTTTATATAACATTACTGTGTTTATATACATATTATATAGGCAGCAGCCAGCCATTAATGTTCATGGCTTATATCCACGAGACAAATACCTTTTGACTTATGTGGTGTATTGTAGTGTATTTGGTGTCTCTGCAGCGGCGACCTAGTAAAGTGATATTTACTTGCTCGCTAACTTTACTTCCCAATATTTGACTTGATTATCGTGGGGGAAGGATTCACGTGATAACTTTATTCTGATATATATTTAAATAATATAAAAGTTACTGTTGATTTCAAACGTTCACTAGAAAATGTTCTCATCAAAGGCTAACTTCACAATTCTTTAATATTATTCTTAAGCGTTATCATATAATCTGTTTTCGGTATTCTTGTGCAAACAGGTTTTTTGTAGAGAGCTGTTAAATGCAATAATTATTGCAATTGCAGTGATTTCCCTCTCTCCAGTGGGAGTGACTGTTACATACAGGCTATAAAGGGATACTATCAAAAACTATCGTCAATTTTAGTTTTATTGAAAAATTACAAAAATCTACTCTAGAACTCTCAGTCCATTGAATGGACGTCACAATGTGGGGGAAATGACTTTACAGACAATTTTGAAACAATTCTCAAGAGAATTGTTGATTGTAGCTGATGACACCACAGCTGTAGAATGAATCAGGTACACGCACCAATCAGAACGCGCACCAGTCTGACACGCACCAATCAGAACGCGCACCAGTCTGACACGCACCAATCAGAACGCGCACCAGTCTGACACGCACCAATCAGAACGCGCACCAGTCTGACACGCACCAATCAGGACACGCACCAGTCTGACACACACCAATCAGAACGCGCACCAGTCTGACTCGCACCAATCAGGACACGCACCAGTCTGACACGCACCAATCAGGACACGCACCAGTCTGACACACACCAATCAGAACGCGCACCAGTCTGACACGCACCAATCAGGACACGCACCAGTCTGACACGCACCAATCAGGACACGCACCAGTCTGACACGCACCAATCAGGACACGCACCAGTCTGACACGCACCAATCAGAACACGCACCAGTCTGTCACGCACCAATCAGGACACGCACCAGTCTGACACACACCAATCAGAACGCGCACCAGTCTGACACGCACCAATCAGGACACGCACCAGTCTGACACGCACCAATCAGGACACGCACCAGTCTGACACGCACCAATCAGGACACGCACCAGTCTGACACGCACCAATCAGAACACGCACCAGTCTGATGCTTCGGGCCGTCCTCTCAACTATTACATCTCATTTTTTCACGTTATTTGAGCTACGACATGTTGACAGCTAGGACATGTTGGCAGCTACAACATGTTGACAGCTACGACATATTGACAGCTACAACATGTTGACAGCTACATGTTGACAGCTATGACATATTTGACAGCTACAACATGTTGACAGCTACAACATATTGGCAGCTACAACATGTTGACAGCTACAACATATTTGACAGCTATGACATATTTGACAGCTACAACATGTTGACAGCTACGACATATTGACAGCTACAACATGTTGACAGCTACGACATGTTGACAGCTACGACATATTGGCAGCTACAACATGTTGACAGCTACAACATATTTGACAGCTATGACATATTTGACAGCTACAACATGTTGACAGCTACGACATGTTGGTGCGAGAGCGCAGACGGCAGCGCACGGAGGGAGAAAATACACGCCAAGCAGCAGCATAAGAAGCTATACAACTGCACCAAAATGAGCTTCGCCATGCTGCAGAGATGTGCATTGCAACATAAAACTGCAGACAAATGCACATATCCAGAACACATATGCATAGCCATGGCAGCGTGAAGCTGTGCACAGATACATATATAATACAACTGCAGAATACAAATGCACAAAGCAAAAATGCCACCCTAACAGCTGCATAATGAATAAAAATATATATATATATATATATATATATATATATATATATATATATATATATATATATATATATATATATATATATATATGTAAAGGTAATATTTGCGTGACAAAAGCAGCATCGGTTACTCATTAATAATTGTCAAATATAAAGTTGCGGAACATTACGTCACAAAAAACTCCACAGTCTGTAATTACTCTTAAGGAAAGTTAGTGAAAGAAGGAAACTTTTGTGGATGGGAGCGCCGACAGCACAGGCGGACGTAGGAGGTAACACTGGAGTCAAGCCTGGAAGACTATGTAGCACCGTGTGTGTGTGTGTGTGTGTGTGTCACAGAGACTATGTAGCACCGTGTGTGTGTGTGTGTGTCACAGAGACTATGTAGCACCGTGTGTGTGTGTGTGTGTGTGTGTGTGTGTCACAGAGACGATGTAGCACCGTGTGTGTGTATGTGTGTGTGTGTGTCACAGAGACTATGTAGCACCGTGTGTGTGTGTATGTGTGTGTGTGTGTTACAGAGACTATGTAGCACCGTGTGTGTGTATGTGTGTGTGTGTGTCACAGAGACGATGTAGCACCGTGTGTGTGTATGTGTGTGTGTGTGTCACAGAGACTATGTAGCACCGTGTGTGTGTGTGTGTGTGTGTGTGTGTGTCACAGAGACGATGTAGCACCGTGTGTGTGTATGTGTGTGTGTGTGTCACAGAGACTATGTAGCACCGTGTGTGTGTGTATGTGTGTGTGTGTGTTACAGAGACTATGTAGCACCGTGTGTGTGTATGTGTGTGTGTGTGTCACAGAGACGATGTAGCACCGTGTGTGTGTATGTGTGTGTGTGTGTCACAGAGACGATGTAGCACCGTTTGTGTGTATGTGTGTGTGTGTGTCACAGAGACTATGTAGCACCGTGTGTGTGTGTATGTGTGTGTGTGTGTTACAGAGACTATGTAGCACCGTGTGTGTGTATGTGTGTGTGTGTGTCACAGAGACGATGTAGCACCGTGTGTGTGTATGTGTGTGTGTGTGTCACAGAGACTATGTAGCACCGTGTGTGTGTGTATGTGTGTGTGTGTGTCACAGAGACGATGTAGCACCGTGTGTGTGTATGTGTGTGTGTGTCACAGAGACTATGTAGCACCGTGTGTGTTTGTGTGTGTGTGTGTCACAGAGACTATGTAGCACCGTGTGTGTGTGTGTGTCACAGAGACTATGTAGCACCGTGTGTGTGTGTGTGTGTCACAGAGACTATGTAGCACCGTGTGTGTGTGTGTGTCACAGAGACTATGAAGCACCGTGTGTGTGTGTGTGTGTGTGTCACAGAGACTATGTAGCACCGTGTGTGTGTGTGTGTCACAGAGACTATGTAGCACCGTGTGTGTGAGTGTGTCACAGAACACCAGACAGCTCCCAGATATATTTCTTAACGCCAATATACGAGAGCAAAAGACAAAAGGCAAAAGCCACGTTAAAGGCATTAGATTCACCGAGGAATGTATCGAGGGGTCAAATGGCCCAAAGGACTTAATTGGGAAAGCAGGACTTCCTGCACAACATCCTGAAAATCAGAAGGGGTCTCCCAGCCCGTCCTCTCGACCGTTGCTAGCCTCATTAAAGGGATGTACTACCTTGCCCAAACCTAAGCCGAGGACCCCACCAACAGAAAACAGGGCATGATGTCAATTTTTGCGAGCCGCTATGTATTTTAGTACAGTACTTCATACATTGGCGTTGGGGATTTTGACGTCAAAATACGACGTGTTTTGACGTCAAAATGCGAGAGGGCGGGTTGAAAAAGAGCACGAAGATAAATCCTCAAGAACAACAGAATTAAAAATATGAACAAAGACACTAAACAGAGAGCACAACAAATACACTGAAACATGCAAAGAAAATACTACAATCGTAAAAATCCCATTTTGGAAGTTGTTCAGGAAAAAATATTTACAGGAAATATTGCAATTTGAAAGTGCATTCCACGTGTGTGTGTTTGTAAACAAAACCATGTGACCATAGGTCCGGGAGTGTGTTTGTGGTTGTTACCTCCACAAACTTGTGTGGAGGAGTTTGTGTGTGTGTGTGTGTGACGGCTGTGTGGATGAGGTTGTATGTGTGGCAGCTGTGTGGAAGGGTTTGTGTCTATTAAATTGAGAAATGTGTTTAAATTGGTATAAGTAAGTTCTTGTGATATATGTTATAGTCTTGTCCAGCAGTGAAGAATGAAGGCTAAATAATTAACATCATTCAGAAACAATAAACTTGTATATAAAGTCTTCAAGAAATGTCCAGAACCGTTTATACAAAAATAAAAAAGATCCAAACTGATAAACAAATAGCAGTTAAATAAGTTATATAAAATCATAAATGAACATAAATTTCTGACAGACATAATATTATATGGGAAGCAGGATTTTATATCTATACAAAAAAGGTAATGAAACTACATGTGCCAGATCTCAAACTTCCCACACAGGACGATGGAGAACAGTACACAGTACACAGGCAGTCGCAGTGATGGGGGGACCTGGGGGGGGGCTCCACCCATCCTCCTAATAGTGAGTCACATTTTTGCCTAAGGCAAAAAACCGTCGTACTAGGAAATGGTAGCGGCCTGCAAATTTGACATACTGGCCCGTGTTCAGTTGTGGGTCCTCTGGTAGGTTAGGAGAGGGCGCTTTATACGACAGTTTTTTTACGTTGAGAAACCTTAAGAGAATGGGCTGCCCGTCCTCTTAAGGTTTCACAACCTAGCCTCGTGTCCATCACCTAGTCACAGCCTCGTTCTAGCCTAGCATACGACTCGCTAATCACAAGTCACTGATCCAATTTTAGTGTAAAATTGATTTAAGACAACCTTTTGGTTTTCCGCCGCGAGAACCCGTATGGAGACTGGCTCTTTCGTTGCCAAGCCAAGATATAGGAGCCTGCATATAGGAACCTATCTGTGATTGGCTATCGCGTTACAAGAACCAATTGGTGATTAAAAGTGGCGATCACGTCATACTGTCTGCTCAAGTAATTGTTCTCCATCAGTTTGGCTATCGGGACGGCGTCACTATGACTGTGGTACCATTAGAGGTTGTGGCAGAATGTAGAGTGTGGGAGGCTGCATATTAGGTGCCATAAACACGCGGCCGGCTGGTAGTGTTGGCAGGCCTGACGCACCCTCCCACACCAGTTACACAGTGGCGGCGCCGCCGCCCGCGGAATCGTTTCATATTTTTATCAGCATACTTCTGTACATTGGCATTTATGTAGCTACCCTAGACTATGTGAGGGGGGTTACATGGTTCGTGTCAAGAACTAGTCATGTGGTACCTAAAAATCTCCATCTCGCAGGATGGTTTGCCTGCATTGGCAAATTTTAAATGCGTTATGAGGATATCCTCGAGAACACGAGAGTCAATAAAGTAATTGCAAAGCTCCAGGTACCTCATACCGGCACACGTGAAGAGTCTAATGACTGAACATTCAACATTGTGTCGTGTGAGATCATGCCCCAGTTCCTGTTCAGAGTTTACACATGAGGGGGGGTGCTCAGGATCGGGAGATTCGTCGCACCGCCGGCAGAGCCTTCGTCACTAGTACTAGTTTTTGGTACCGGAATGCTAAGATTCATCCGTTATTCCAGCGGGAGAGAGGACCCTCTCGGGGTTCCCACTCTCTACCTACTATGAGATCAAGTTATCGTAGCCAGCTTCCATCACTCGATAATGGTGCAATGTTCCGCCATCATGAGGCTACACTTCATGCCAACACCAGGCAACACTATCCCCGCCATCATGAGGCAACACTTCATACCAACACCAGGCAACACTATCCCCCGCCATCATGAGGCTACACTTCATACCAACACCAGGCAACACTATCCCCCGCCATCATGAGGCAACACTTCATGCCAACATCAGGCAACACTATCCCCCGCCATCATGAGGCAACACTTCATGCCAACACCAGGCAACACTATCCCCCGCCATCATGAGGCTATACTTCATGCCAACACCAGGCAACACTATCCCCGCCATCATGAGGCTACACTTCATGCCAACACCAGGCAACACTATCCCCGCCATCATGAGGAAACACTATCCTTACCGTCATGAGGCAACACACTACTTCAAACATTAAATTATGTCTTTGTATCCAAACCGATTTCCAGTTATAAAAATAGCAGTGTAGTTTATAGACATTTGTTTGCTACACTTGATTTACACTAAAAAAAATTATATATATCAAATGCATTCTACAAAATTCAAAGTCCCTGAATAGGGTGATCAGCTGGTGGTCTATGTCTCAGCTGAAGGTCTATGTCCCAGCTGAAGGTCTATGTCTCAGCTGAAGGTCTATGTCTCAGCTGAAGGTCTATGTCTCAGCTGAAGGTCTATGTCTCAGCTGAAGGTCTATGTCTCAGCTGAAGGTCTATGTCTCAGCTGGTGGTGTATGTCTCAGCTGAAGGTCTATGTCTCAGCTGGTGGTCTATGTCTCAGCTGAAGGTCTATGTCTCAGCTGGTGGTCTATGTCCCAGCTGAAGGCCTATGTCTCAGCTGGTGGTCTATGTCCCAGCTGAAGGTCTATGTCTCAGCTGGTGGTCTATGTCTCAGCTGAAGGTCTATGTCTCAGCTGGTGGTCTATGTCCCAGCTGAAGGTCTATGTCTCAGCTGGTGGTCTATGTCCCAGCTGAAGGCCTATGTCTCAGCTGGTGGTCTATGTCCCAGCTGAAGGTCTATGTCTCAGCTGGTGGTCTATGTCTCAGCTGAAGGTCTATGTCTCAGCTGGTGGTGTATGTCTCAGCTAGTGGTCTATGTCCCAGCTGAAGGTCTATGTCTCAGCTGGTGGTCTATGTCCCAGCTGAAGGTCTATGTCTCAGCTGGTGGTCTATGTCTCAGCTGGTGGTCTATGTCTCAGCTGAAGGTCTATGTCCCAGCAGGTGGCTAATGTCCCAGCTGGCAGTCTATGTCCAGCTGGTGGTCAATGTCCCAGCAGGTGGCTAATGTCCCAGCTGAAGGTCTATGTCCCAGCTGAAGGTCCATGTCCCAGCAGGTGGTCTATGTCCCAGCTGGTGGCTAATATCCCAGCTGGTGGTCAATGCCCTAGACTACATCCTATAAGGAGATTTGATTGTCTTGAGTTTGAGGTAATCGAGGCGTCGGGTGAGGAAACTGGCCATTGTCTTAGTATAGTGTAGTGTGAGATGACCTTTTCCCTTATATACAGTAATGTGTATATTACCTTATACTGTGGTTTGGGGATAGTTTCGACAGTGCATATTGTAGGTTGAGGACACCTTTGACTTTGTATACTGTAATTTAAGGTGACCTTTGTACTATATACATTGTATATAGTATTTAATTTCACCTATGAATAGTTATATGACATGGCCTCGTATATTGTATTTTGGTGTGGCTCCTGGTTATTGTATACTTCGTCTCGCAGTGACCTCTGACCTTGTACACTAGATAGAGAGGCAGTTTCTGACCCCGGCGTCCGGCGGGTACATCAAAACCCAAGGCAACAACAGAAGAAAAGTCTCCTGAAGAAGGGATGAGAGTAAAGCCGTTGGTTCATAGCTCCCTGGAGGAGGGGCGGTGATGGGTGGCACGCTACTAAAGCTCCTCCTTAGGGGGCGTGAGACGTGCCGGAGTGAGAGTGACCACGGTCGAGGCCGAGGTGGCCACCACCTCGTCCTTGGAGGCCTTGGACTTGGAGCTCGGGTCGGGGTCCACTAGAGAGATCCTTGACTTGATCCTGTCAGGAGAAGATGGAGATAGTTAGCGGGGCGCCTTCTTAGGTCGCCGTCAGGTGTATGCGTCCTGTTAACTGTTGTTCTCAGCATAATTCATTTAAATTAATTATTGACTACCAAAGGTGCGTCGTGGGGGTAACTTAGGATGATAATGTTAATGTAATCATACCCTATTTGTTTAATTAAGTTATACTATGCCAAATAGAATGGTGGTGTTCTGACCCTGTGACGGTGGCGTTGACGGTGATGCGGTCGTGACATCTGAGGTCAAAGGCCAGGTCGCCGGGGAAGATGAGGTCATCGTCGTGCTGCACCACCACCGTGTTGACGTGGGCGCCAAGGTCGTCGTCCTGCCCAAGACCAGAGAGAAGCGGGGATCAGAGTTGGTGGCTCGAGGGGTGAGATACAAGGTCGTGGTGAGGTGAGAGAAGGAGGGATGTGAGTTAGTGGTGAGGATTAAAAGGAATGGTGAGATGTGTGGTGAGGGGGGGAAGGGTTGGTTAGTGCGATGAATAGATCTCTGGATACAATAAGTGTCTATTTGTTTACCTTCTATAATACTGTGTATTCTCTCTCTCTCTCTCTCTCTCTCTCTCTCTCTCTCTCTCTCTCTCTCTCTCTCTCTCTCTCTCTCTCTCTCTCTCTCTCTCTCTCTCTCTCTCTCTCTCTCTCTCCCCACCACTCACATATTTCGTCGAGCAGTCCTTGTAGTCGAACTTGATAGCGAACTCCATGCCTCCGGTAGCGTCTAGGAAGCATGGCCCGCGGCGGGTGTGGAAGCTGCCCCTGGTGTACACCACGCCTTTGAACTCCTTCTCCAGGGTGATGACGAAGGCCATGTGGTCGTCGCCACAGTCGAGGACAGCGCGTGAGTACCCTGCATCACGGACCCCGATGCTCACCTTGTTGCTAAAGTCCTCCCTCCAGTCGGCGCCTGAAAGGTCCAAAAAAAAAGAAAACGGGGTCATGTATTTTGATTGTATGGTTCATAAATGTATAGGCATTTACATTTATAAATATTTACAAACAAGAATTTATAATTTATGTAATTTATAAATAACATTGTGGGTAATATAGTTATTATATTAATCTCGAACCCCAACGGTTGTTTAGATTTTTGTAGCCATGTGGACCATCGTGCATATATTGACGTAATGAACAGATAGATAAAAAATCTGGAGCCAGATTCACGAAAGCACTTACGCAATCACTTACGAACCTGTACATCTCTTCTCAATCTTTGGCGGCTTTGTTTCCAATTATTAAACAGTTAATGAGCTCCGAAGCACCAGGAGGCTGTTTATAACAATAACAACAGTTGATTGGCAAGTTTTCATGCTTGTAAACTGTTTAACAAATGTAACCAAAGCCGTCAAAGATTGAGGAAAGATGTACACGTTCGTAGGTATTTGCGTAAGTGCTTTCGTGAATCTGGCCCCTGGTACTATTCACTTTTTAAGAGTCTGAAAATAAAGCTAAAACCACACTTAAATATTCCTAGGCGTGTGTTAGGCCTAGGAAGGTTAGGTTAGGTAAGTTTTATTAACAACATAAATACAAATAAAAATTCCGTTCTGTTCAAATTCAGTAGTGCCACATTCAACTTTCTAATTGTACATTACGTCAATATTTGCACGATGGTTCACATTGTTACTATAAGTACTGTCTAATAAGCAAGATGGTTACAATCTAATCTTGAGCTCTGAAATTTAAAACAAAAAATATAATTATGCTGAAACAAGTGTGATATATATAACCCATCATCGTCTTAAGACAGTACAACAGTCAACATATATATATATATATATATATATATATATATATATATATATATATATATATATATATATATATATATATATATATATATATATATATATATATATATATATATATTCATCAACAACGTGATGTGTATGCTATTTCTCGGTGTGTATACACTCTAGAGTTTATCTTGGTCCAGAGTTATGATCAGTCTACTTGCTGGTTGGCCGTTAAGCTGTTGTAGTTGGCCTTAATAACCCTCCAGAGGTTGATAGGCCTTAAGTCCTACACCAAGCTCGGAACATGAAACAATAGTGTATATGTGTGAAATATTAATATATATGAATGGGGGAAGTTCAGGACTGCATGGAACAACCGTGGACATCTTCAAGAGGAAACTAGATTGTTTCCTTCAAGGAGTGCCGGACCAACCGGGCTGTGGTGGGTATGTGGGCCTTCGGGCCGCTCCAAGCAACAGCCTGGTGGACCAAACTCTCACAAGTCAAGTCTGGCCTCGGGCCGGGCTTGGGGAGTAGAAGAACTCCGAGAACCCCATCAACCAGGTATGTAGACGAAGTGAACGTTGGGCTGAATTATTGTCTTGTTATCAAGTTTTTTGGGTTCTTCAGCCTTGACTGTTTACCACTTGCCCCGTGACGTTGACTGGTGTGCAAAAAGTCTATATTATGTACATATACACTAATGTAATAATATGTACTGTTCTGAACAGGAGTCGACATATATGATCCTGATGGTTCATGACAGTGAGCTTAGTATCGACTGCGTACATATGTATATGTACGATTATATATGAGTGGGTTAATGTTAGCCCATCAGGTAGCGGACCGTTAGGTGCTGTCATATGTGGGTACGAGACCGGGCCGCGAGGACATTGGTTCTCGGAACCGCTTGGTGGTAACCACAGTGTAAGTTCATAGAGCGTTCTGAAGTTCAGATACAAGGCCCAAACCTAAACTAAGCTATTATAACCAAACATAATCTTTCCTAACCTATTATAACCAAACATAATCTTTCCTAACCTATAATAACCTCTCTCTTCTCTCTCTCTTCTCTCTCTCTCTCTCTCTCTCTTTCTCTTTCTCACACACGTTGGTCAAAGAGCCAAAGCTCAACCCCCGCAGGCACAACTAGGTGAGTACACACACACACACACACACACACACACACACACACACACACACACACACACACACACACACACATTCATTCATTCAAGATAAGACTTAAACAAAGAATGAAAAAATCTCCCAAAATTCTTTGTGAATAGAGTTGTAGTTGTAATAATTTAAAAGGTGTATATCCAAACCATCGGAATCTTGACAACATCAAAGATTAGGACAAAGCTTACAAGATTATTAGGCACTACGAGCGTAGCTGTCATCATTAACTATTCTTGAGGTAATTACGCATCAATCATCTATTATTTCTAATCTGGGAAACAAGAATACGTTTTAAGATCAGTAAAAGATAGTCAGTGCTCCGGAGTAGAGGTATTTCTGTGGTATTTCGGCGTTGACTGCCCTTACGGATAGGTGAAGCGAACAGCAGTCTGTATGTCAGAGGTGATAACTGTTTGCGTCCAGCAGTGGGAAGAATAGCTCCTGTGTACTGGCATCTACGTGGCCCATCCTGTAGCTGATGTCTACCTATCCTTAGACATTATTTCCTTCTTCAGTGATAATTGACCAAATGTTATAATTGTAAAATTATCTGTACTTTTATGTTTACAAAGATACAAATTTGGGTAGCCGGTGGTACATGAGCAGTGGTAGTGAGGGTAGCCGGTGGTACATGAGCAGTGGTAGTGAGGGTAGCCGGTGGTATATGAGCAGTGGTAGTGAGGGTAGCCGGTGGTACATGAGCAGTGGTAGTGAGGGTAGCCGGTGGTACATGAGCAGTGGTAGTGAGGGTAGCCGGTGGTACATGAGCAGTGGTAGTGAGGGTAGCCGGTGGTACATGAGCAGTGGTAGTGAGGGTAGCCGGTGGTACATGAGCAGTGGTAGTGAGGGTAGCCGGTGGTATATGAGCAGTGGTAGTGAGGGTAGCCGGTGGTACATGAGCAGTGGTAGTGAGGGTAGCCGGTGGTACATGAGCAGTGGTAGTGAGGGTAGCCGGTGGTACATGAGCAGTGGTAGTGAGGGTAGCCGGTGGTACATGAGCAGTGGTAGTGAGGGTAGCCGGTGGTACATGAGCAGTGGTAGTGAGGGTAGCCGGTGGTACATGAGCAGTGGTAGTGAGGGTAGCCGGTGGTATATGAGCAGTGGTAGTGAGGGTAGCCGGTGGTACATGAGCAGTGGTAGTGAGGGTAGCCGGTGGTACATGAGCAGTGGTAGTGAGGGTAGCCGGTGGTACATGAGCAGTGGTAGTGAGGGTAGCCGGTGGTACATGAGCAGTGGTAGTGAGGGTAGCCGGTGGTATATGAGCAGTGGTAGTGAGGTAGAGTGACAAAACACACACACAGTGGCCTCTACTTGGTACAATGACCCAGCAGGGGGGAGTGGCAGGCGACGCCCGAGGACACGCCCGGCAAGGTGAGCAGCTACACTCGCTCTCTGCTAAATATCAACTTTTCCCAGCTTAACTCAGGCATTTTCCAGTCTGAGAATGAATCAGTCCTGCGTGTCCGGTTTTACTCTTGCGGAATTCACCCGCAGAAAAACAAGAGAATACTAATATGCGTTGAGGAAGCCCGTTATGTCACTGTATTAGGCGAGAGGCCTGGTGGCACTGCTTCACCCCTTCAGGTCCTGCCCGGAGGTTCCTCAACATAATCCCAATATACCCAAATGCCAGAAATGTCCTCCACGATCCCAGCATTTGGCGAGATGGTGGCCGCGGGCCGTGGTGTGGGCGCCGAGGTGCGCCGCCCTCAGCGTCCCTGCTCCCGCCAGCTCAAACCAGTATGCGATCCCTTACCTTACCGCTATTTCAAGTCGCCGTATACAGATTTTCTTTATAATTTCCTATATACTGTCTCGGTAAATAGAGTGTTTAGTTTAGTTTAACTCATTTTATTATACACCCCATACCCATCTTGTTGGTGGTAGTGGAGAGGGTTACAGAGGCACATAGTGGGCTCAGGGACTGAACCCTAACAGTGAGGGTGCGAATGTTATCCCTTGTGGTGGTGAGGTCTGTGCGCAGCGTACGTGGAGTCCCTGTTAATGTGAGAGTTATTATTTCCCTGATGATGCTACGCTCTTCTACATAACTAGTGTGTGTGTGTGTGTGTGTTTACCTAGTTGGGCTCGGGCGGTGGATGAGCTTTAGCTCCTGGGCTCTATATAACAAACGGTAGTAAATTAGTCAATAGTGGTTCCCGAGCTCTTTGGACTCTGGTATATCAACATTTGAAGCTGTCTGGAGTCTGCCTCCTCCACCTCAATGTAGCGCTGAACAGATAATCTATATCAACAGATAATTCAAACAGTCCCGGTGGCGCAGTAGTTACACTCGCGCGGCGTTTTCGCCTGGGTTCGAATCCTGACCGGGGAGGATTGATGGAATGTCAATCCTTAACTGTAGCCTCTGTTCACCCCCAGCAGTGAATGGGTACCTGGTAGCTAAACGATTTGGCGGGTCGTATTCCGGGGAAATTTAGGATTAAGGACCTGCCCGAAACGGTATTCATGCAAGTGGCTGTACAAGAATGTAAGAACTCTTGTATAAACAAATAAATACAAAATATTGTCTCAGAGCCAATATGAAACACTGAACATATAGATCAGTGTTTAAAAGCGCACAAGATACATTATTATGTAAACAAGAGACTATTTCTGAACATCGTAGTAAACAAAATATAAATATATAATGATCAATATAATAAGAGAATTCAATGTTCCGTTGCTCAACAATGTCTGTTTAATCTATAGTGAAAACCTGTACCCAGAAGCAGGTGTTGTTGGTGCTGTGACGGAGACGGGAGCACCCTCCCCCCTCACCCCTCTCCCCCCCCCATAACCGTCAGGTGCAAAAAGTGTGTATTTATACAGAGAGAAAGTGAAAGTTATGGAAGGGAAAGGAGTGTGAAGGTCGTATTTACTTGCTGGGTTTCTCCCTCTCCCACCTCCCTCCCTCCCTCCCTCTAACCACCATACATCCCTTCCTCCCTCCCTTATACCCCCCTCCTCCTTTCGGCCTTCCTCTCTT